GGGCCGGATGGCTACGCGGGGCGGCGGGCGCTGGCGCACGACGCTGGCGTCACCAGCATACTGGCCACGCCTGACGGGTTACACTGGGTCACCGGTGGCCGCGACGCGCGTGTGCGGCTGTGGGACGCGGCCAGCCGGCGTCACATGTTGGTCCACTACCCGGGGGCGTCCAACCCGTCGCGGCGGCCCGTGCGCCTGGCGGCGACGGAGGACGGACGCACGCTGTTCCAGCCGTGCGGGGCGGGCGTGCAGGTGGGCGCGGCGGGGCGCCGCAGCGCGGGCGTGGGTGCGGGTGCGAGGGCGAGGGCATCCAAGGTCGCCTTTGCGATACCTGCATCCTTGCCTCGGCCGTGTGGTAGCTGCGGCCAGTGCGGGCGCCCTAGGCCGTGCGCCTTGCATGGCACGTTGACCGCCTGCGCGTCGGCCTCCCCTCGTCGTCCTGTTGTCCTGCCATCCGTGAGGTCGTCTGCACCCCTCTTCAGTCCGTTTGAAGCGTCCAGCCGCCACCCTGCTGACTACCAGGTGCAACCGCAACCCGCCCAACCGCCGACAACCGACAGGTGTATGACATCAGCACGGGCGCGCTCCTGACGCGCCTCCGCCAGGGCCACTTCGAGCCGGTGACCGCCTGCGCCTGGAGCCCGCTGACTCAGCAGCTCTACACCGCAGCTTCCGACGGCTCGGTGCTGGCGTGGGCGCCAAAGGTTGAGGTGGCACTGGAAGACGAGGAGGCGTGGGAGTGGAGGCGGCGCGGGGACCTTGCGCCAGAGTGGGCCGCTCTGGACGAGGACGACTGGAGCGACGGGTACTGAAAAGCGCTGCAGCGCTGGTTCAGATCTCCAATAGTTTGGGTTGTTTTGCTTGGTGCGTGTTGGTGGCAGTGCTGAGCTGGCTGCCCGGCAACGGCCGGGCAGCCGCGCAGCCGCGCTTTCTCGATTTGGGAGTTTTTGTTTGTTGTTCGAGCAACTTTACCGGCGCTGCAAGATCGCGTCCTTCTCGTGACAAGTGCGTTTTGACTGCACCAAGTCACTGCAATCCTATCAAGCGCTGCGTGCTGCCCCCATGGCGAAGCGCTGGAACACGCGCAGCTGCCGCCGCAATGCTCAACTGTCGCTGACGTCACCCCGATCTCGCATGACCTCAGATATTGTGCTGCTTGGATTGCCTGCACAATGTGCTATCGTTGTTGAGCAAGGTGGGCAGTCGCTCACACCTGGAAGCAACCCCACACACCCACTGGCCACCATTAGGAATGCCATCAGCCTTTGATCGGTCCAGGGGATGATGGCAGCCTGGTGTCACCAGCTTTCATCACTGGCTTGCCACCAGCCGGGGCGCAGTACGCAGCTGGCCGTTGACTCGCGGACACCCCAGGCTGCGCGTGCCTGCAAAGCGGCGGACTGGTTCAAAAGTGACATGCCCAGCCGGCATTCTCTCTGGTCGCAACACGGTCTCACAAAGCTGCCGCACACGCGCCTCAGCCCCGCCGTTGCAACGAGCCGGGCTGTCTAGTGCCTCTCGCACCTCTGCCGATCAGGGCCGCGGCTGCCAGTCTGGAAGAGCGTGAGGCCAAGCACGTTGAAACGGAGGCAGCCAGGTATGTCGCCACTGGCTCGCAGGATTTGTGGCACACAGCACGATCGTCATTTGGGCCGCGCAAAAACTGCTGGCGAGCCTCATACAAGCCTGCAAGCACGGAGAGGCTGGTGCCAAGGCAACAGCACCTTGGACTGTACCGCGAGGGCATTCCCAGTGTGCATGTTGCATGCGCCAGCCGGCTCATTCCTCATGTCCATTCGAATTGTGCTGTACAGATCAGAGACGGCCCTCAGCAGAGCTTGAGCGCACTTGTCGCTGCAACTTGCAGCCAGATTGCCAGGACAGCAAACCTGGCATGCCCCAGCACCACAGCAGCAGCAAACCCAGAGCTAAAACCAGCACTACCGCAGAGCGTTCACTGCATCCCGACCCACGCACTCGAAGGGCCTGCACAGACACCAACGGGCGCGTGCTCTACCCAGCACAACACCAAATAGCTGCCACCCCAAACCGAAGTGCCCATCCAAATCCGGCACAGGCAGCGCCGGACCAGACCTCCAGGCGGCGCCTCACCCAGCCCAAGTCCCTGCCAGCGAAGCGGAAAAGCGCACCACAGTCATGCTGTGCGGCGCGGCGGCGGCCCGCAATTTTTTCTCTCGAACCGGCCGCTTGCCAGCCCCAGGTCGGCGTCACCCGGCCCAGCGCCGAGAGCTGAGCGCCGAGGCCCCGCCTGCTGCAAGCCCCGGCCAGCCTCAGGCAACCTGGCCGCCGCCCAGCTCCCGCAGCCGGCCGTGCAGTGCCTGGACCTCCGTGAGCCACTCTGAGCAGCCCCGGCCCTCGTCTGCGCGCAGTGAGCAGGGTGCGGGGAGGGTTCAGTGCGTGGAGCAATTGCAACCGTGATGTGGCACCAGACGGGGATATGCAGGGGTGAGCATCGCATTGTGGATGCAGACTGCAGGCCAGGATGATGCAATGCCACGAATTGCCCTGCATGGGGGCAAGCGACATGTCCATGCGTCCCCTCCGGATGGCGGTCTCTAATTCATGTGCGTTGTGGCGGGGCCTCCCGGAGCAGCACGGTTGTGATGTGCACGCGCGCATGCAAGCTGGCGCCCGCGCCGCCCCTTCTGCGCCGCTCACGCGTGTCTCCAGGCACGAGGTGCTGTGCAGGCTGGTGCCACCAGTCCGTCAGAGCGCCCTTAACCGCACAGTCCGCAAACTCGCGTGCGCGCCGCCCCTCCGCGAGCGCCTCCTCCAACAGAGGCAGCCGCTGCGCCACGTCGGCCGTCCTGAGAGCGCCGACCTGTGCCCGCAGCCGCGCAGCATCCGCCTTCGCGGCTGCGAGCCGCTCGGCGCCGGCGGTCGCCTGCTCCTCCAGGGACGACAGCAGCCGCTGCTGATCGCGCGCGCGGCGGCAGCCGCCTGCGGGGACGAGGGGGGGTGGCGGGGCGGCGGCAGGGTGGGTGCAGCTGCTTGCGGCGCGCGTCTCAGCTTTGAACATCAGCCACAATGCATCGCCAGTATCCCGCCCCGGGCCCGTAATCGCCGTCAACCCACCTACTACGCCAGCCATCAACTCTGCAGGGCACCTCACAGGCGCCAGCTCATCCAGATCGCTCGCCGCCTCCAGCGCCGCCGCCATGGCGGGGTCGATCGACGCCGCCGCCGCACCGACCGCGCCCACGCCAGAGCTGGTGCTCGCGGCCACCGCGGCGCCCGCGCGGCAGAGGTGCTGCGACGCCAGCCGGAACCGCACGCCCGTCGGCCCCGCAAGCAGACCGCCCCGCGCGCCCGCGACGAGCGCCCTGAGC